AATTTCATTCATTTCAAGAAAATTTTAAATTTCCCCTCTAATTTATTAACTCATTGGTTGTTCAGGAGCATGTTCTTTAGTTTCTATGTATTTGTAGTATTTGAAGTTATTCCATTTACTAATTCTAGTTTTCTATCTTTCTAGTCAGAAAAGGTACTTGAAATTATTTAAATCTTCTAATTGTTAAGGTTTAGCTTTGTAACTTGATATAATCTATCATGGAGAATATTCCATATGTTGTTGAGACAAATGTATATTGGCTACCTGTTGTGGAGAATGTTCTGTAAATGTCTGTTAGGTGTACTTGGTCTAGAGCACAGTTTAAATCTGCTAATTTTTTGTTGATTTTTGTCTAGATGATCTGTCCCTTGATGTAAGTAGGGTGTTGAAGCCTCCTTCTATTATTGAATTGTAGTTTATGTTTCCCTTTAGATGTACAACATTTGCTTTAATGTGGATATATATATTTACAATTCTTCTATCCACTTTCTGAATTGACCCCTTTATAATTATATAATTACCAACTTTGTCTCTTTTTACAATTTTTGCATGAAAGTTTATTTTATATGACATTAGTATAGCTGATCCTACTCCCTTTTGGTTTCCATTTGGATAGAATATCACTTTGCATCTCTTCATTTTTATTCTCTGTGTTATTCAATCTGTCAACCTTTTCTTTTCTTTTGTAATACTTCGGATTGAACCCAGGATGCTCTATCACTGAGCTATATCCCCAGTACTTTTTATTTTTTTTATTGTCAGACAGAGTCTCACTAAGTTGTCCAGACTGGCCTTCAACTTCAGATCCTCCAGCTTTGGCCTCCCAAAGAGCTGGGATTACAAGCATGTGCTGCTGTGCCTAGTTAATCTTTTCTTTCCACACACATATAGATTTTGAATCAAAGAAAGTCATAGGTGAGGTGAGTCTCTTGAAGGCAGCATACAATTGAGTTTTGTTTTTTCAATCCATTCAGCCACTCTATGTCCTTTAATTAGAGAATTTAATCCATTTACATTCAAGGTAATTATTGATAGGTAAGGGCTTACTATGGCATATTGTTATGTTTTGTAGTTGTTTGGTATGTTCTGTCCTCCTCTCTTACTGTCTTCCTCTGTAGTTAAGTGATTTTTCTCTAGTATTATGTTTTTATTCCTTGCTTTTTTCAATTATAGGTTTTTGTTTTGTGGTTACCATGAGGTTTACCAAGAATACTCTGTAGTTATATATTTATATTAAGTAAATAAAAACTTAAGTTTGATAACATAAAACCAAAAAAAATCTTTATACTTTAACTCCTTTTCTTGACATAATTTAAATTTATGATGTCATAATTACATAATTTTATAATGTATATAACTATTAGTTACTACTATTTTAATAGTTTTGTCTTTTACCCTTCATTCTAAAGATGTGTTTATATCCCACCATTCTTTACTTTAGGGCACTCTGCATTCGATTCCATACTTAGTATTTAATGTGAGTTATATGCCTTCTGATAATTTCATGTTACTCATTGATATTCTTTTATATCAGCTTGGAAAACCCTTTCAGCATTTCTTGCAAAGTGGGCCTAGAAGTGATAAATTCCTCAGCTTTTATTTTTCAGGAAGTCTTTTTCTCTCTTTCATTTCTTTAAAAAAATATATATTTTTAGTTATAGATGGACATAATACCTTTATTTTATTTATTATTTTTTTATGTGTTACTGAGGATTAAACCCAGTGCCTCACACGTGCTAGGAAATTGCTCTACCATTGAGCTACAACCCTAGCCCTCTCCTTCATTTCTTAAGGACAAGTTTGCTGGGTACAATATTCTTGGCAGGTTTTTTTCTTTTAGTACTTTGAATATATTATTCTACTTTCTTCCAGCCTATATGGGTTCAACTGAGAATTCTGAAGCTAGGTGTGTTGAGAGTCCTTTTTTATGTTATTTGCTTTTTTTTTTTTTTTCTCTTGCTGCCTTCAGGATTCTTCTTTGGCTTTGACCTTTAATAATATGATTATATGATTCTTGGTGAATTATTATTTGGATTTAACCTGATTAGTGACTTTTCACTTTCCTGTACTGGAAAGACATATCCTTCATCTGTTTTGAGAATTTTATGCTATCATTTCTTTAAATAAACTTTCTATCCCTTTATTTTTCTCTATTGCTTTTTAAATTCCAATGACCCATATATTTACTCTTGATGTTATTCCATTAAATCCCTTTAGATTTCTTCCTTCTTTTTTATTGTTTTCTACTCTGACTGTATTACTCTAATAACCTGTCCTTGGGCCCACAGATTCTTTCTTCTGCTTGATGAGTCATCCTGATGAAGTGCTCTATTACATTTTTCATTTTATTCATTGTATTTTTCAACTACAAGATGTGTTTGAATTTTTAAAATACTATTTCAATCTCTGTTAAACTTCTCTGATAAATTTCTGAATTATTTCTGTGTTTTCATAAAGTCTATTGAACTTTGTTGTAGTAAGCTCTTTTGAATTCTTTGTTTGACAGGTTGCATATCTCAATCTTACTAGGGTCAGTCACTGGCACCTTATTCTATTTGATGAGTAATATTCTCCTGCTTGTTTTTAATGCTTTTGAATGTTTCCAAACTGAAGAATTAAGGGTTTACTCCAATCTTCATAGTCTGGCTTTGTCATCATCCTTCGATAAGTTCTAGGCATTCTGATTTGGATTCTGTAAGCCTGTGACTGATGAAGTCATTTTAGCACTAGAGGGTGCCTTAAGACCAGATTTGCCATGAACTTTATGAGGGCTCTAAGGCTGGTGTAGAGCCTAGTCACCTATGTCTATGGAAGAACCAAGGACTTACCTAGGCTATGTGGAAAACCTTGCTAGGGACTAAAGCCCAGAAAACCTTCCAATTCCTCACACAGGTGTGACAGATGCCCAACTATGGCAATAAGGACTTGAGCTAAAATTGGACCAATCAGGATTTGTTGTGGGACAGAGGATGGTAAGCCCATCCTAACGGAGCACATAGGCATGCATCTCCCAGCAGTTCCTAACAGAGACAAGCTATTTTCCTGACTGCAATGAGAGAGACCAGAGCTAAGAGCAGGCTACCTCAGTATCTGTTGTGAGATGGAGGCTAGCAAACATGTCACAGAGGTTCTGACAGATGGGTAGCTGATGGACTGTTAAAGATGGGCAAGTCTCCTTCTATGTCCTTGTGTGAGTAGTCCTAAGTTAGGACCACAATTGAGGGGAATTGGAGCCAAGCAACAGGGTAGCTTTTAGATCTGCTGCCAAAACCAATGTCAGCAAGTAACTGAACCTCTCTGCTAAGGCACTAGAAATTTATGGTTCTTCCTGGACCCCTTGGCAGATGGTATTGATTGTGGGCCCAAGGATTAAATCAAGCCTTTAGGGGAACAGGGCTCTTTCTAGGTTTGAACGCAAGAGTAATATTAGTATATCTGCTGCCTGGTTTGGGGTCTTCATTCTCAAAAGACTCTCCACCAGGATCCCATTCAAGTCTCCTACTTAAATCCTGAGTCTTTTACAAAGGAACTTTTGTCTGTGGGTGGATGCAGACTTCTTGGTGTTATAGGAGATGGAAGTGGGCAACCTTTTTCATTCTATCATTTTGCCAGTCTACCTTTTAAATTTTTTATTCATTTATTTGCTTGAGGCTATTTAATTCAATTAGGAGGAATATGTTATTGTTTTCTTCTGTTTCACAGTTAGTTGTGGAAGGAACTTACATTGGCCAAAATATTGATTGTTTTCCTTTTAGAGTAATTTTGTATGAAAATCAATTTTTTTTCCTGTCCATTTTATGTACAGAGTAAAGGTTTTGGGTGAGTTACAAGTTTTTTAGTTTAAGACAGCTCCCTTTGGTCAGACTAGTGAAGTTTTTAATATTCTGATCTGCTTGTATTTTATAAACATTCTTAAAACAACCCAGGATACAAAGTTAAGGCCTAAGGTCACGGGTGTCTTCTTTTTGAGATAATTCAAGTTCCTTTCTTAAAACTCCATGTATATGAATAACAGATTCTGAAGTCTCACAAATTCTATGATTAATTATGGTAGAATCTCACACGATATACTAGTTTATAATTGTGGTAACTGGAAGTCCTTTCTGTCCTTGTATAAATAATACCCCAAGTGAGCTAAAACAAAAAAAATTGTGTTTAGCATTATACAAAACAAATGTTTAGAGTGTTAAATTTAAAGCAATAAACTAGAATCTACTTCCTTCACTGTTTTTGTTTTGTTTGTTTTTTTTCCTTTATTATGATGATGTAAGAACATGACACTTTAGGCCCTGGTAAGGTTGATTCATCCATCCATCCACCACTTACTGTGGACCATGGGGGTACAAAGATGACTAAAACATAGTTCCTCCCTCACAGACAAGTGGATAAATTGCAAAAGGTTAGATAAAGTAGGGCATTATTTATTATTAGATAAAGTACGACATTATTTCCAAAAGTATGAAACTATGCAAAACCATATTATATGTACTTTTTAAAATGTTACATATATTTTAAGAGTACATATGTATGCATATATATATAAAAGTATCTGAGAAAGTTATAAGAATCAAAAAATGTCACAAGGATCAAATTCAGGATAAAGGTTAGCTCTTGGGGGAGGAGTTAGGAAGCTAAGGGGGAATCAGGCAGAAATACAAAGGAAGTTTCAATTTTATCTGCACTAGTATAGTCCCTTGAAGTAGGAAAAGTTAAGATCTGAAATAAATATTCCAAACTGTTATGATTTGACAAAGCTGAGTGGTAAGAGATATTTTATGTTAATTATTTTATGTATGCTTGAAATATTTTATAGTTAAAAAAAAAGTTCATTCAGTGTGTAGTTCAATTCATTGGCAAGGTTTATGGAGTTTTAATTTTGAAGTTTCAGGATATGTTGTGTAATAACATAATATTGAAAACTACTTTTAGAAATGAAAAAGGAAAATAGTTCACCAGTACATTATATATCTTTTTTTTTTCAGATGAAATGTTATACATACCTGTGAGTGCTAAATAAGAACCAATGTACCGCTTTTCCAGTCCATCTCTAATACTCTGAATTGCACCCAAAATTGGAGGTATGATCATAATCAGGTTACTCACTGTATTCCCTAGAGGAGAAAAATACAAGAAAATATTTAAATTAACCAATAATACTTTTTAAAAAGACATAATCAATTGGTCCTTAACAACAATTAAATGGGTAACTTCTCAAAAAGACAGTGGAAAGGTTATTTTCAAGATGCCAAAAAATAATAATTTTGTACTCAAAAAAAAATTTCTTTTAGGAATTCAAGTAAAACAAAGATACTTTCTGACAAATGAAACTAGGAATTTTCCACAGCATATCCACTAATGAAAATTCTAAATTCTGAAAGCAGTCAAGAAAAGGATCTCAGAAAGAAAAGAGATACAACAATAAATGAGTTAGAGAAGGCAGTCTGCATCCATGCTGCTGAAAGTGTAGTTCATGAAAATATACAGAACTGAGTTAATTTTGTATATGGAATTGAAAAGCAACAAACTGGAGTCTACATTTTTCATGTCTTTTTAAAATTTCATTTTTCTAGTAATGCTTTTAGTTTTGAGTAAAACATAAAAGTCAATGAACCTTATCTGATTTTTACTTTCTTCTTTACAAAACAAAGTTCAAACACAAATAACAAAGGAAAAATATAAACCTCAATAGTGGAAATAAGTAGGTAAAATGGGAAAAGAAATGGCTAAAGGATATTTTATAAATTTGACTGTGGGTAGAATAAAGTGCCACAATATCTTCAAAAACCAAATTTTTTCAACATAGGTTCTAATATCAAGACAAATTAACAATTGTTTTTTAAAAACATTTTAAAATAATCAAGAATCAAAAAAATTATACTTGCAAAGATGACATAGGATCTAAGAAACAGGTGCTTTAACCAAGGAGAAAGTAAAGGCAAGGCCCAAGATTACTTCTATACAAAAGAAACTAGACCACCCAGTCCAGGTCAGAGTAGGAGAACCAAGAACTGCAGTAAATTCATAGGAAGAAAAATTTTTTTAAATAACCAATTTTATATGTTAATGTTTGGAAAAAAATGTCACTGGGCACTAGATAGAAATGTTGGAAAATCTGTACTATAGTTTCATAAAACAAGCCTCTGTTGCTGTATATTTAGTTCATTTCTCCAATTCTTACCATTACATGCAACACTGTAATGAAAAACCATATACTGTTAGTC